TTTTTTAAAAAATAGAGCTAGCTTTTAAAATATATAATATTTGCGTATTTTTACTTCAGATCTTACAATTTGTTTTTTAATTTTTTTTAGATAAAGAGTAAAGGCTTTACTAAGCCTACTTTTAAAATTTATAGCATTATTACTTTTTAATAGCTAAGTTATAAATATTATTATAGCTAGGTTATATTAACTTTATAAATATAGGGCTTTATATAGAAAGTAAGTACTTAAAGCATAAATAGGTTAATATATGTTTTTAAAATAGCTAAAAAGTAAAAAAAAAAAATTAAAATATTTAAAAATAAAATAAAAAATTCTAAGTACAAATAATAAATAGTGCTTATATTACTGCAGTAGGCGCTTAATGCAGAGCCTTAAATAAAAGTAAAAAATAAAATAAAAATTTTTAGTAATATTAAAAGTCTGCTATATAAAAGCAAAGTAAGTACTTTATTTTAGTATACTTTATATACTTTTAAAACTTTTAAGCTTTTAAACTAAAAATGCAAAATGCGCAGATATAGTACCTACTTTTCTTTAAAATTTTAAACTAAAAAGTTAAAAAAAATACTATTTTAGGTTATAGTATATAAAGCAAAATAAATTATAAATAAGTTAAAAGTACTTTAGTAGACTTTTAGTTTTTTTAAAATTAATATAAAAATTTTTAGGAATATTACGCATTAGTTATATAAAAACTTATAAAATTTAATATTTAAAATTTAAATAGTTATAATTTATAACTTTTTTATACTTATATAAGTTTGCTAAACTTATTTTATTTCCTTTTATAATTATTACAGCATTTTAGCTTTATATAACTTAAATTTAGTTTTAAAATAAATATACTTAGTATAATACTGCAAAGAATACAAGGACTATACTTATAAAAAAATATAAATAATTTTTTTTTAAAATTATTAAACAAAATTAACATTTTTTTCTGCTATTTTTAATAATTAACTAGCTAAACGCGTAAGTACTAATGTATATAAATTTTAATATAATTTAATATAACGTACTGCTTAAAAATTAAAAAGGCTAAAAAGTATTTTTTAAAATTAAAAAAATAGCATTTTATGCTTGCTAAGTATCTTTAAACTAAAGTACTTAATCTACTAGCTACTAGCCTTATAGTCTGCTTACTTAATTTTAGAATTTTAAAGCTTTATAAGTAGAATTTTTAAATAATATAATATTTTACTGTAAAACTTATATAAAATATGCCCTTTTTAATATACTACATTTCTAATAAAGCAGTTTAAAATATATAAGCTATTATTATAAGTATAAAGCTATAAACTATAATACTTTATAAAAACAGCTATAAAAGAGAAGTTCTTTTTTTTTTATCTTATTTAAAGTATCCTTGCTATTTGCTAAATTTTATAATAATAATAATTAGTAAACTAAACTACGTAGACTATAAAATATAAAAAACATACTGCTTCCTAAATTTTACAGCTATAATAGCAAGGTTTTGTAACGCTACTACCCTAAAATACTAATTTAAATATATTAATTTTAAATTTATTTATAATAATACTTAGAATAATTACTGCTTACTAAAGCTTTTCTTCTATAGATAATAGATTTTTAAGTTTTTTTTTTTATTTCTGCTACTATCTAGCACGACGCTTAGTAGCTACAGTAGCTAAGTATTCTATTTTTAAATAATACCCTGTCTTGCTTTTAATTTTACAACATTTCTAGCGCTTTGCCTATTATTTAGTTAAAATTTATAATAAATTAAGTTATATTTAATTATAAATTTATAAAACAGACTTTTTAAATATTCTAGCATTATTACTATAGTTGCTACCAGGCGTAGAAAGTATAGACTAAAATTTTAACTAAATATAGTAAAAATTACAAATTATTACTTTGCAAAGCTTAAATATATTAGCATTTTTTACTATAAAGTTAGTATAAACTAGAGGGCTATAGACTAGTAGAGTATTCTAGTCCGAACTAGGTAAAATAAAAAGTAAATATATATTTTAATATTTTTTAGTAAAAGACTTAGTATTTCTAGTATTTCTAGCTTTAGTTAAGAATTTTCTGCCTAGCTTTCTAGTGCGTACTGCTTTTGCAATATATAAAAGCTTACTAGTTTTTACTACTAGTTTTGCTATAATATAAAGCTATTATAAATATTTAAGTAGGGAAAATGCGTAATAGTACAATATAATATCTATTAACTAATATATAAAAAAACAACATTTATAGTAAGCTTAAAAATAGAAGTATAAAAAATAGCAGGTAAAAACTGCAAAAAGCAAAAGCCTTGTTTAACCTAGAAAATTGCTCTAAATATAGTATTATTTACTAGAATATTAGTATAATCTGTGCACTTAACTGTGCTTTAATATATACTTAACTTATTAAAGTATAGCATTATAAAAAATATAGAAGTTATTAAAAATTATACTAAATTATATTAAAAATATCTAGCTTTTTCTATTGCAAATTATACAGCGCCGCTTTTAAGCTATTAAGTTAAAGTAGTTTTTGCAGGAAGTCTAAAACTAGTTAAAAATACTAATTAAATACTAAATAATTATAATACTATTAAAATCTTTGCTCTAACTTTTATAATTATAGAGTTGTATAATATTCTAGTGCATAATAGTAATAA